TTTATTCTATTTAATTATATTCTAGTTCCATTGTTATTCTGTTCTATTCGATGTCATTTTCATTCTGTTCTATTCCATGTCATGTCATTTCTATTCCATGTCATTTCTATTTTATTCTATTTTATTTTATTTTATTCTATTTTATTATAACTCAATTCTATTCAACTTTCCATGCAAGCACACTTCATCCATCATACACATTTATATTACCTGTACATGGGAATAAATATCATTTTTCCAAATCCATGTTTTGTCATCATCTAACTGTATTGGACACATAATTTGTTGTTTATGGTGAGTGAGTGCAGATAAACTCATGTAGTCATGCTTTCCTTCTGACAGACACACTAAAATAACGAGAGAAAAGAAGTGAAAACATAATGTAAGTTTTGCAAGGAAATAATTTGAGAATACTTTTCAACATTTAATGCTTTTTTTTAAAGCAGGGGAGTTGTCACCTGACGCATGTGGCAGTCTGCCATTGCCTGTTGTTGTTTACAAACAATAGCTAAAAGTTGAAAGTAAGGATCGAAAAATTGTTGTTTTTTTGCCAATGATGTTTAAAATGCAGAAACTTCAAAGAAAATATTGAAGCAGCTAGTCATCCTCTGTGAGAAATTGCTATGAATGTGGTTGAGAAAATGCTAAGACTAATCTCAAGCCAGAAATCTCACAGCATCAGCAACAATTCAGTGATTATTTTGTCTGGCATTAAGGTCCTAAATATTGCTTATAATTTTTTACCACAAAAACAATATGTGGAAAACTTAATGCAGGTCTATTATGTGTAAGGTAACAAACGTTGTCTATGGCATTGAAATTAACATATGGACATAATATTATGAAATCACACCTGCTTTTAATTTTGTTCCTCTGAACTCCTTCCATACTAATTGTCTTAGAGATGCCATTCTCCTGAGTTGATCTTTGGATAGGGAACTTAGCGAAGATCCATAAGCCAAGGCTCTGGAGCCATTTACAAAGTCATCTTCTGTAACCTCACTTGCCATACACAATAAAAAGTCAAAGAACAGCGAGAACTGAATAGATATCAGAAAGAAAGTGTTAAAGATGATATTAATAACTTAATAAAATATGCATTATATTACTGTCTAATTCCATATATGTACATCTGCCAAATAAAATACATATTACAGGGCCAATAGTCTATCCTTACCTGTATTGGTTTTTCTCCACTGTCTAATCCCTTGTATGTACATCCACTAAATAAAATACACATTACAGGGCCAATAGTCTATCTTCACCTGTATTGGTTGTTCTCCACTGTCTAATCCCATATATGTACCTCCACTAAATAAAATACACATTACAGGGCCAATAGTCTATCTTCACCTGTATTGGTTGTTCTCCACTGTCTTATCCCTTATATGTACTTCCACTAAATAAAATACACATTACAGGGCCAATAGTCTATCCTTATCTGTATTGGTTGTTCTCCACTGTCTTATCCCTTATATATACATCCACCAAATAAAATACACATTACAGGGCCAATAGTCTATCTTCACCTGTATTGGTTGTTCTCCACTGTCTAATCCCATATATGTACCTCCACTAAATAAAATACACATTACAGGGCCAATAGTCTATCTTCACCTGTATTGGTTGTTCTCCACTGTCTTATCCCTTATATGTACTTCCACTAAATAAAATACACATTACAGGGCCAAAAGTCTATCCTTACCTGTATTGGTTGTTCTCCACTGTCTAATCCCATATATGTACATCCACCAAATAAAATACACATTACAGGGCCAATAGTCTATCCTTACCTGTATTGGTTCTTCTCCACTGTCTAATCCCACATATGTACATCCACCAAATAAAATACACATTACAGGGCCAATAGTCTATCCTTACCTGTATTGGTTTTTCTCCACTGTCTAATCCCACATAAGTACATCCACCAAATAAAATACATATTACAGGGCCAATAGTCTATCCTTACCTGTATTGGTTGTTCTCCACTGTCTAATCCCATATTTGTACCTCCACTAAATAAAATACACATTACAGGGCCAATAGTCTATCTTCACCTGTATGGGTTGTTTTCCACTGTCTAATCCCTTATATGACCTCCACCAAATAAAATACACATTACAGAGCCAATAGTCTATCTTCACCTGTATTGGTTGTTCTCCACTGTCTATTCCCATATATATACATCCACCAAATAAAATACATATTACAGGGCCAAAACACACCTGTATTGGTTGTTCTCCACTGTCTAATCCCATATATGTACATCATCAAATAAAATACATATTACAGGGCCAAAACTCACCTGTATTGGTTGTTCTCCACTGTCTAATCCCATATATGTACATCCACCAATTGGAGGCAATACATGAATGACCAAAAGCTTTTCAGCTACACTAAAAAGACATATTAGCACAATGTAGTTAATATAAAACAACATTAAAATAATAAAGTCTTCAAATCCTGTATATTAAAAAAATATAGTGACATATAATAGTATGATGATGAAGTAAAAAGACAAAATAAAAAAAATAATTATAATTAAAATCTTACCCAGGAATGTAATTTTATTAAATTACTCAATGTGTACAAAACATGCGTGTCCACATTGCCCTGCATTGCACTTTGTTATACTGTAAAATGACTAATTTTCACTTGGTTTAAATTTCACTGATTTACCATTTCAGGCATAATCAGTGGGTTTTAAATTCACAGTTTTATCATTCAGTGTTTTATGCTAAGTTTTACATATTCACTGGGTTTTAATTTAGCGCATTTTCCAGTCAGCGAAATAAGCCAAATTAAAACCCAGTGAATAATTAACCATTTTACAGTATTGTAACAGGACACAGGCAGAGATGTGCACAAATAATGCAAAAACCATATTTAATTAAAATGTACAAAATTTACTCAACATATTCAGAGACTCACCTTGCTGAAATAAACACAACTCCAGTTACCAAGGCAATGCTGTCATCTGGCATGGAACACATTTCCACTGCTGTTTTTGTTCCTCGATAAACTATATCTTTAACATCACCCTAGAAATAAATATTAAATCACTGTTTTAAATCAACCACTGAGTGGTTCTTTTCACTAGACGACCATCAGCCATTAAGCCGCCAATAATCATTGAGTGTATGTTAGTCACTGAGCAGTCATTTGTCACTGAGTGGTTGTTGGTTGCAGTTTGACCATTATTCACTAAGCAGACATTAGCGGTAGTCACTGAGCAACAACTAGTGGCCACTAGTTGAAGTATTGCCATTAGTTGCTGAGCAGCCATCAGTCAATGATGAGTGGCCATTAGTCACAAATCAGCCATTAGCCACTGAACAGTCATTAGTCACTGAACAGTCATTAGTCACTGAACAGTCATTAGTAACTGAACACCCATTAGTCACTGAACACCATTAGTCGCTGAACAGTTATTAGTCACTGAATAGTCATTAGTCACAGAACAGTCATTAGTCACTGAACAGGCATTAATTACTGAACAGTCATTAGTCACTGAACAATCATTAGCCACCGAACAGCCATTAGTCACTGAACAGTCATTAGTCACTGAACAATCATTAGTCACCGAACAGCCATTGGTCACTGAACAGTCATTATTCACTGAACAATCATTAGTCACTGAACAATCATTAGTCACTGAACAGCCATTAGTCACAGAACAGCCATTAGTCACTGAACAGTCATTAGTCACTGAACAATCATTAGTCACTGAACAATCATTAGCCACTGAACAGCCATTAGTCACTGAACAATCATTAGTCACCGAACAGCCATTAGTCACTGAACAGCCATTAGTCACTGAACAATCATTAGTCACTTAACAATCATTAGTCACCGAACACCATTAGTTACTGAACAGTCATTAGTAACTGAACACCCATTAGTCACTGAACACCATTAGTCACTGAACACCATTAGTCACTGAACAGTCATTAGTCACCGAACAGCCATTAGTCACTGAACAGCCATTAGTTACTGAACAGTCATTAGTCACTGAACACCATTAGTTACCGAACAGTCATTAGTAACTGAACACCCATTAGTCACTGAACACCATTAGTCACTGAACAGTCATTAGTAACTGAACACCCATTAGTCACTGAACACCATTAGTCACTGAAGTCATTAGTCACTGAACAGTCATTAGTCACTGAACAGTTATTAGTCACTGAACAGTCATTAATTACTAAACAGTCATTAATTACTGAACAGCCATTAGTCACTGAACAGCCATTAGTCACTGAATAGTCATTAGTCACTGAACAGTCATTAATTACTGAACAGCCATTAACCACTCAACAGTCATTAGTCACTGAACAGTCATTAATTACTGAACAGTCATTAATTACTGAACAGCCATTAATCACTGAGCAGTCATTAGTCACTGAGCAGTCATTAGTCACTGAACAGTCATTAATTACTGAACAGCCATTAATTACTGAACAGCCATTAGTTACTGAACAGCCATCAGTCACTGAACAGTCATTAGTCACTGAACAGTCATTAATTACTGAACAGCCATTAATCACTCAACAATCATTAATCACTCAACAGTCATTAGTCACTGAACAGTCATTAATTGCTGAACAGTCATTTATTACTGAACAGTCATTAGCCACTGAACAGTCATTAGTCACTGAACAGTCATTAATTACTGAACAGCCATTAATTACTGAACAGTCATTAATCACTCAACAGTCATTAATCACTCAACAGTCATTAGTCACTGAACAGTCATTAGTCACTGAACAATCATTAGTCACCGAACAGCCATTAGTCACTGAACAGCCATTAGTCACTGAACAATCATTAGTCACTTAACAATCATTAGTCACCGAACACCATTAGTTACTGAACAGTCATTAGTAACTGAACACCCATTAGTCACTGAACACCATTAGTCACTGAACAGTTATTAGTCGCCGAACAGCCATTAGTCACTGAACAGCCATTAGTCACTGAACAGTCATTAGTCACTGAACACCATTAGTTACCGAACAGTCATTAGAAACTGAACACCCATTAGTCACTAAACACCATTAGTCACTGAACAGTCATTAGTAACTGAACACCCATTAGTCACTGTAACACCATTAGTCACTGAAGTCATTAGTCACTGAACAGTCATTAGTCACTGAACAGTTATTAGTCACTGAACAGTCATTAATTACTGAACAGCCATTAATTACTGAACAGCCATTAGTCACTGAACAGCCATTAGTCACTGAACAGTCATTAGTCACTGAACAGTCATTAATTACTGAACAATCATTAACCACTCAACAGTCATTAGTCACTGAACAGACATTAATTACTGAACAGTCATTAATTACTGAACAGCCATTAATCACTGAACAGTCATTAGTCACTGAGCAGTCATTAGTCACTGAACAGTCAATAATTACTGAACAGCCATTAATTACTGAACAGCCATTAGTTACTGAACAGCCATCAGTCACTGAACAGTCATTAGTCACTGAACAGTCATTAATTACTGAACAGCCATTAATCACTCAACAATCATTAATCACTCAACAGTCATTAGTCACTGAACAGTCATTAATTGCTGAACAGTCATTTATTACTGAACAGTCATTAGTCACTGAACAGTCATTAGTCACTGAACAGTCATTAATTACTGAACAGGCATTAATTACTGAACAGTCATTAATCACTCAACAGTCATTAGTCACTGAACAGTCATTAGGCACTGAACAGTCATTAATTACTGAACAGTCATTAGTTACTGAACAGTGATTAGTTACTGAACAGTCATTAGTCACTGAACAGCCATTAGTCACTGAACAGCCATTGGTCACTGAACAGTCATTAATTACTGAACAGTCATTAACCACTCAACAGCCATTAGTCACTGAACAGCCATTAGTCACTGAACAGTCATTAGTCACTGAACAGTCATTAATTACTGAACAGTCATTAACCACTCAACAGTCATTAGTAACTTAACATTCATTAGTTACTGAACAGCCATTAGTTACTGAACAGCCATTAGTCACTAAACAGTCATTGGTAACTGAACAGCCATTAGTCACTGAACAGTCATTAGTCACTGAACAGCCATTAGTTACTGAACAGTTATTAGTCACTGAACAGTCATTAGTCACTGAACAGTCATTAGTTACTGAACAGTCATTAGTAACTGAACACCATTAGTCACCGAACAGCCATTAGTCACCGAACAATCATTAGTCACCGAACAGCCATTAGTCACCGAACAGCCATTAGTCACCGAACAATCATAAGTCACTGAACAGCCATTAGTCACTGAACAGCCATTAGTCACTGAACAGCCATTAGTCACTGAACAATCATTAGTCACCGAACAGCCATTAGTCACCAAACAGCCATTTGTCACCGAACAGCCATTAGTCACCGAACAGCCATTTGTCACCGAACAGCCATTAGTCACCGAGCAGCCATTAGTCACCGAACAGCCATTAGTCACTGAACAGCCATTAGTCACTGAACAGCCATTAGTCACTGAACAGTCATTAATTACTGAACAGTCATTAGTTACTGAACAGTCATTAGTTACTGAACAGTAATTAGTCACTGAACAGTCATTAGTCACTGAACAGTCATTAGTCACTGAACAGTCATTAGTCACCGAACAGCCATTAATCACTCAACAGCCATTAGTCACTGAACAGTCATTAATCACTCAACAGCCATTTGTCACCGAACAGCAATTAGTCACCGAACAGCCATTAGTCACTGAACAGCCATTAGTCACTGAACAGCCATTAGTCACTGAACAGCCATTAGTCACTGAACAGCCATTAGTCACTGAACAGCCATTAGTCACTGAACAGCCATTAGTCACTGAACAGCCATTAGTCACTGAACAGTCATTAGTCACTGAACAGTCATTAATCACTGAACAGTCATTAATTACTGAACAGTCATTAATCACTCAACAGTCATTAGTCACCGAAAAGTCATTAGTCACTGAACAGTCATTAATTACTGAACAGTCATTAGTCACTGAACAGCCATTAGTCACTGAACAGCCATTAGTCACTGAACAGCCATTAGTCACTGAACAATCATTAGTCACCGAACAGCCATTAGTCACCGAACAGCCATTAGTCACCGAACAGCCATTTGTCACCGAACAGCCATTAGTCACTGAACAGCCATTTGTCACCGAACAGCCATTAGTCACTGAACAGCCATTAGTCACTGAACAGCCATTAGTCACTGAACAGCCATTAGTTACTGAACAGCCATTAGTTACTGAACAGTCATCAGTCACTGAACAGTCATTAGTCACTGAACAGTTATTAATTACTGAACAGTCATTAGTTACTGAACAGTCATCAGTCACTGAACAGCCATTAGTCACTGAACAGCCATTAGTCACTGAACAGCCATTAGTCACTGAACAATCATCAGTCACTGAACAGTCATTAGTCACTGAACAGTCATTAGTCACTGAACAGTTATTAATTACTGAACAGTCATTAGTTACTGAACAGTCATCAGTCACTGAACAGCCATTAGTCACCGAACAGCCATTAGTCACCGAACAGTCATTTGTCACCGAACAGCCATTTGTCACCGAACAGCCATTAGTCACCGAACAGCCATTAGTCACCGAACAGCCATTAGTCACCGAACAGCCATTAGTCACTGAACAGCCATTAGTCACTGAACAGCCATTAGTCACTGAACAGTCATTAGTCACTGAACAGTCATTAGTTACTGAACAGTCATTAGTTACTGAACAGTAATTAGTCACTGAACAGTCATTAGTCACTGAA